ATATTTAAATTTACATAATTGTAATAAGGCTTTTGTTGATACTCCATCACTTCCACCTTCTGCAATAGACATTAACGTTTCAACAACTTCATTTGGTTCAAAATCGTTGAATGCATGAACAACAGATATTACAAAATTATTTTTTTGAAGACTAGTTCCTATTTTAATAAGTTCTCCAATCCATCCTTTAATTCCAGTACAATTTTTTGTTAGTTCATAGACAAGATGTTGGGTTTCTTTTCTTCCTGCAGCATGAGCTAATATATTAGCTTTAATAGAATTAACAGGAACAATTTGAGCCGCTTTTTCAAAGATACCAATAACTGGAACAGAAATTAGTATCTCTGCAATAGATGGATCATTTAATTGGATTGATGCTTCTATTACTTTTTGAAGCACTTGCACTTCTCCAAATAATAATCCTCGTGCACTAATCATTGACAACATATCTAATGAAAATGATGGATTATCTTGAAGAAGAATAAATATGTCTAATGCATTTACTGCTACTTCTGTTTGAAACACTGTGCAACAACTTAAAATTATCTGTTCAAATTGTTCAAGAACACCAAAGTTATATAATTGGTTCTTTATTCCTTTAATACTTTCTGGTGTAAACATTTTATCATATGATAAAGATGGAGAAACAATGCTTATTATTCTTCTTGCACATGCCTCTAATTCTCCATGAACTGTTGTTGGAGCATAAAAAAGTAAAGATAAAGCACATAAATGAGGAATATATTGTATTGTAGTAATTGGTATTAATGAAATAATAAAAGAGAGTAATATGAAATAAATGTTTTCTTTTTTAGAAGGGAATGTTGGAGTTATTTCAATTAAGTCACAAGGGAGTTTAGGTTGAATTGGTAGTTCCATAATATTATTGTATAAATTCATAAATATTGGTAAACATAATGACTCTATTCCACATAAATTACACATAATTTTACCAATTAAACCAATACTTTCTTCAGTATTTTCTGCTTTTGTTAATAGTATTTCTAATATTATATCTATTTTATCTTCACATTGTTGTATAACGCATTGCCACATTTCATAAACTTCATAGTCCAATTGTTGTGCTGCTGATGTCATATCAATCATAATATTAATTGTTCCTTCAAGGTCATACTGAACAGCTACTTTCATCCATTCACAACATACATGAATCAATACTCCATACTCACTATTATTTAACAAATTATGATATTGAAGCACCCCTTTTAGTATTGATGGACTTTCAGAACAATATACTTTGGCTAATTCTCTCATTATTGCACAATTCCATGATCCACCTACAGCACATCCACAATAAGTAGAAATATTAAATCCTTGTACTCCTTTCATTAATGTTGCAAAATCATTTGAATTTTTTGATATTAAAATAATGCCATAACTTAATATTTCTTCCACCCGAATTGAATATCCAGTACTAAGCATTTTATACACTGCATGATAATACATCATTCTTACATCCCTTGTCAAAAAAGAACGTTGCATTGAAATAGATAACATATTTGGATACCTTGTTAATATATTTACTAAGTATGTTTCAGAAGCAATAGGATCTGACGAATAAAGTACTTCAAGAAGATTAAACAAATCAATTGGAGTAGATATTCTTGCTTTTAATGTAATTGCTTTAACTATTGGAATAATATATTTGTGTAATGACATTTGATTAATGTATTTTGAGATAAATGTTACTAACGAATCTTCTATTGATGGAGAAGGTAATGTAATTTCTAACGTACATATCTTTGATACTATTTCAAATAAAATAATATTTGAAGTTGGAAGGTCTTTAAATTGAGTCCAATGCATTAATGTTGTTCTACATAATGAAATAAGGTTTTGACAACGAACATATTTAATTGGTTCTATAGATACTAATGTATTTAATAATTCAAGATTAAATTTCTTCTTTTTAGAATCAATCATTGAAGAAGCAAAAAGATCTATAATAGATGGCTCTGATAATTTAAGTAATGAATGTACCATTGAACAAATATGTTCTACACCATCATTGTATTGTGAAATAATTGAATGAATTATATGTATATTTTCTGTTTTCATTGATGCAAAAATAAATCTAATTAATTCTGGTTGCATTTTAGATGAATAATTGTTAGATAATCTATTAGATAATTCTTTAACAAACAACAATTCTTTTTGTTCAGTTACAAATTTATCTATATTTTCTATAGAAACTGATGATAAATATTGAGCAATAATATTTGAATTTTCAATAATTCTATACCCTTTTAACTTTAGTGCATCAACTAATCGTGAAGCTATTTCAATAGACTTTCCATCTAATGTAATAATAAGTGCTAATATTCTTCTTTGTAACATATTAACTAATCCTTTACTAGCAACATCACTAGTTTGTCCAAATACTTCAGCAAGTTGACATACATACTCACCTTCATTCCAATTACTTTCTTCATCAATTCCATTACCAAGAAATTCTTCAAATATACCACAAAATAATCTTGGATTTCTTTTTGCATCTCTGAGCAATGCTTTTCTTGCTTCTTGTTTAATTTCAAGTATTGGACTTCTTGCTGCACTAACTATTTTATGTGAAGTTGTGTCTCTTGCAGTAGAGTCATGAATAAATGATTCTGGATACATTTCTAATGCCCATATATTAAATGGGTCCATTACAGTTCCTATTAATGATGATGTGTTTGATAAAAACTCTGTTACCCCTTGTTGAACTTCTGAAGGTAAGGTAATAGATTGTGGGAGATGTTGAATAACAGTAGCACGAATATCTATCGTTGTAACAAAAGTTCCAGAAAGTATGTTCATTGTCGTTTGATGTAAATAAAGAGCAGGATGTGAAAATACTTTAGAAAACATAGAAATTTCACTGTTTGAAGCATATTTTAAACGATGATATTCTTTTTTTGGAAGGATAGTTTTTGTAAGAAACTCATCTACTAATGATGAAATTAAAGAATGGTTCTTTGGTAATACATCTAAACTACCACTAACATAATCGCTTATCATTTCTAAAGCTTTTAATCTTTTTTGCTGATCTTTTGCACTAGACAAAAGAGTATAATTTGATACTAAAATTGGTTTGATAGAAATAGCAAATAATCCATCACTTTGAGCACCAAGGTGTGCACAAGTTTCATTAATTGGTACTTTTGAATTTTTCCATTTTCGTAATAAGTCAATAATTCTTCCATATCGTTCTTCTAATTGTGTCACACCAATTCCAGTTCCTCTTCCTAACCCGTTAATACAGACACCATCAAGTAATTCACATAATGACCGTTTTAATACACTCCTTTGTGCTGAATTTAATGCATTTTCTACGTTACTTATAAACCTAACTGATTCACTTACATTAATACCATTAACTGGAAGAATTATTTGTTTAAAACAAATAACCATTACTGCTGCCTCTCTAGCTGTTTCATCATTTTTAATAGTTTGAATAATATGTAAAAATGAATCTACAACATCTTTCAAAAAATATTTACTAAGTTCTTTCATTAATATAGAAGTATTATTCCGTACTTGTACACTAAATTTACTAGATGAAAAAGTAGATGCAATAGAAACACTTCTATGATCTGAAATTCGTACGATATTAGTTAATAATTTAATACACTGTATATTAACTTGTTCATTGTCAAAAGGAATTTTATTATTAAGAATTTGCATAAGAAATTCATAATGAGATTTATCATCCATTGAAGTAGACAATAATTCGATTGTTGACTGTATTAATGGAGAATGTTCATAACATTGTTCTGAAAACCTAACAATTAAATTTTGTATATATTGATTGTGGTCAACAACTAATAATTGTTCACCTCTTAAATCAATTTTCTGTGATATTCGAGGGGTTTTTGAATTTGGACTAATAATACGAGGAGAAAGTAAATTATTCTGTTTATTAGTTTCTTTTATAGGAGAAGATGAACTTATTCGTTTAGATAATTCATTTGATTGTGTTATTGGTAATGACGTTTGTCTCTTAACAAAGTTATTTGATGGAATTTTTTGTGTATCTGTTTCTACTTGAGATGTATTAATATTATTAACTCTATTAGACTGTATTGAAGAATTTGAATCAGTTTGTTTAATGTTAGAGTATGAATGAAGAGATTGTTTTGATGAATTACTTACAGATGGATTTAAAATATCAATCTCAAATTCTTCTTCTTCTGGCATGGTGGTGTTATCTTCATCTTCTTCATCTCCAACTTCATATTCTTTTGGTTCAAATTCATCATCTCCTAGTAATTCGACTGTAATATCTTTAAAACTCGGTGTTTGGGGTGGAATAATAGTGGTAGTTTTATTTTGATAACGTTGAGGTGAATAAGAATTTTCAAATGGATTAATTGACTTTTTTGGAGAGGGGGATTGTTGTTGAGCAGATGTTTCATCAAATGGATTTGTTGATGGTATTGATTTTGAAGACGGTTCATCAAATGGATTTGTTGACGATATTGGTTTTGAAGGTACTTCGTCAAATGGATTTGTTGTGTGGGTTGTTGTTGTTGGTTCATCAAATGGGTTTGTTGGTATTTTCTTGAATTGAAGACTTAATTTAGGTGGTTTTTGTGGTAATGAAGGAACTGCTGGTGTTTGTTTTTGTGGGTATCTATTGACTGGAGGCTGTGGCACTGGTTTTTGTGATCGGGGTGAGAGTGTTGTTTCTCCAGACTTTTGTTGTTTCATGGTATGGGCAGCAAAGGGATTAGTGGATTGACGATAAACATAATTAGTGTTAGTATTTAGTGGTTGTGTATTTGCACGATGAGGAGGGGTTGGAGTTGGCTTAGAGGGAGTTTTTGGTTTAGGAGGTGGGGTTGGTTTCATGAGGAGAATAAATGAAATAAGAAAAAATAAAATTAATGGAAAGTTTTTCTTAACAAAGATTGGATCTTTTCTTTTTACTTTTAAAGCTATTAATTATAGTTTATTTTATATATAAAACAGTAAATAGATGAAGGGAAAAAACAAAGTTAACAGTAGAAAGTAAGATCATCAAACATGTCTAATAACTCTTCTACTATATCATCGGGAAATGAATCTACATTAATCTCAAAATCCCATCCATTCACCTTGTTTAGTAAAATGGTATAAATGGCTTGGGTTTGATAACAATTTGCATTGGCTATTAATTGTTTTAATTTTTGACGTTTTTCTCTCATTGGAATTTCAGTGAGGGTATGAGAAAAGTCAAAAGAAAGTGGATCAAGCATAGTATTAATGTCTATCTTTCTTAAATGATCCATGCGTTGAATAGATTGAATAAATCCATTATTATATTCATTCATTGAATTAAAATTGACAGCAAGACTAGTATTTATAAATCAAATTTTCAAGTATAAAGTGTGTTAAAACAAACTTCATTGAATCAAGAAGATTTAAGAAGAAAGAAACCATTCTTTGTTTCATTGAAGATGAGAGAGTTGGACTTCTATATAAATCAAAAAATAATGGATATAAGAAAATTAATAATTGGTCTATGTTAGTACAGCCTTGTATTTGTTCCAAATGATGATAGAGAATATCAGTTGTTTCAGGGTTTATTGATAATGATGATTGAACTTTTTGAATTAATCCCTGAATATTTCTAAGGACTTCTTCTTGAGTATGAGAAGAGAAACGTTGTGGGATAGTGTTAGTCATAAAAATAAATAAGTAGATGAGAAGATTGTGCGATAAAATCTTTGATTTTTAGTCATTTCTTTTTGAATCAGGTAAAATAAAAGTGGATTTAAATCTGAAAAGAATATTCTTTGTCTATAAATTTCTCGGGACCAAGATTATTTCGTTAAAAAAAAGTGATTTTAAAGTGAATTTCTTGAATGATTTTTCTTCTGTTTATTCAAAATTTATTTTTGTTTATTTTTTTTTTTTTGCGTTTTTTAATTCATTTTCGTTTAATATGAAAAAACACATAATTTAATAACAATATTATTTTTTAACAATAAAAAGAAAAAATAAAAATTTTCAGCAGAACTTATAATCATAAGAAAAATTGATGTCTATTATAGAGCAGCCAAATACTATTATTTTTAAAGCCAAAGGGTTGCTTTCTTTTCCTAATGAAGTAATAAAAAATAGTAATTTCATTACAACATTAAATCTCAGTTTAAATTATATTACAGTTTGGTATTTTTTATAATAATAAAAATCACTAATATCAACAATCAAGTAATATAATAGGAAATACCAAATGTTACTTTTGAACGATTAAATGTATTAGCATTATTAGGAAATAAAATTTCATTTATTTCAGAAAAACAAACTAAATTATTTCCAAAATTACATAAACTCGATGTTTCACAAAATTTACTATCTGACGTTTCATCACTTATCAACCTCACATATCTTAGTCATCTTGACTTATCACAAAATTCAATAACTGATATCACTCCTCTTATTCAGTTAGAAAATTTAGAATTTCTTTCATTATCAGTTAATCATATTCATTCTCTACCTGATGGATTTACAAAACTTAGAAAATTAAAGACTGTTTGTTTTAACTTTTATTACTTAAAAATACCTTATTTATATCATTTAGTTAGATTTAGATCATAATTTCTTTGAAACTATCCCAACAACTATTTGTGAATGTCCTTTACAATCAATAAACTTAAATGGTAATTTTATTAAAAAAATTCCAATTGAATTTACTAAATTGCAGACTTTACACATGTTTTCTATTGCATATAATCAATTAACAGAACTTCCTTCATTCTTTTCTTTATTATCAAATCTTAATTCATTAGACATTGACCATAATCCATTAACTTCAATTAGCCTTTTAGCAAGTATGAGTATCTCTGATTTAGTAATGAGTGATGTTTCATTTAATACTCTTTCATTACATGAATTTATTACATTAACAAGACTAAGAATATTTGGTGGAAGTATTAAACAAGTAAATGAATTACCTCCAATTAAAACATTATATCTAGAAAATCTTGGTCTTAAAAAAATTGAATCAATTCCAGAATGTAATGAACTTTCATTACAGACAAATGGACTTACTTCTATTCCAGCAGTTAATTCTGCTATAGAAGTATTAAATTTAAAAGACAATTTATTAACACAATTACCTGATATGTATCCTACTCTTCAACGATTGGATGTTACAAAAAATCTTTTATCTGAATTACCACAACTTCATACATCACTTCGATTTCTTTCAATTTCATGTAATAATTTCGATTCTTTTCCAAATAATATAACTCAATTAATTCATCTTCATTATCTGGATTTATCAAACAATAAAGTTATTTCTATTCCATCTTCAATATGTAATTTAGTTGAATTAGAACAATTAAGAATGTCTTTTAATTATATTTGTTCATTACCAAATGAAATATCAATGCTTAGTCATTTAAGGCTATTAAATATTTCTCATAATAGATTATATCAATTACCACCATATCTTCCTTTTTCATTAAGAACATTATTAATAAATTCTAATCACTTAATTTGTTTACCTTCAATAATAAAAAATATTCATTTAATAGAAATTGACATTAGTTGTAATCAACTTGTTAGTATTGATTATTTAACAGCAATTCATTCATTACAAAGTATTAATTGTAGTTATAATGATATTCAAACAATACCAAAAGAAGTATTTGAACATAAAAAACTTGAAAGATTAACTGTTTGTGGAAAAAGATGTTCAGGAATAAATAAATTAAAGAAAAATACTGTTGTTTTAATGACAACAAAAACAAATAATGGATTATATTCTCTACCTGTTAAACGATCTACTATAACAACAATTAAAAGAAATGATAATAAATCTAAATTAATATATCCATGTAATACTATTTGTTCATTTGGTATTTCTGAATGGAAAGGAAATAGAGAAACAATGGAAGATTGTTTATGTGTAATAGAAAATTTTATTGAACATGGAAATCATTTAATTGTATTATGTGATGGTCATGGAGGTTCAGAAACATCATTTTATTGTGTCTCTCGATTTAAAGAAACAATAGAAAAAATATTTATTCAAAAACCAGAAGCAGGAATAAGTAATATTCTCATTCAAACATTTCTTGAACTTAATAAGAATATTAATGTTTGTGGAATTAAAGATGGATCAACTTGTCTTTGTATTTTTATTTGTGATAAAAAACTTTATATTGCTAATACTGGAGACTGTAAATGTTTGTTAATAAAACAAGATGGATTTATACAATTAACTGTTGAACATCGTCCTGTTATTAAATCAGAATATAAAAGAATAAGAGAAAATGGAGGTTATGTTATTAATGATAGAACAAACGGCATTCTTGCATTATCAAGAAGTTTAGGAGATACATCTATTCAACCTATTTTAACACCAACACCAGATATTTTCATTAGAGAACGAGAAGAATCTGATCAATTTCTTATTGTAGCATGTGATGGAGTATGGGATTTCTTAAGGAATGAAGAAGTTTATTCAATAGTAAAAAAGAGAATAAATTTTGAACCTTCAGATATTTCATCTTCAATAAGAGACATGGCATTTGCACGAGGAAGTACTGATAATGTTTCATGTGTAGTTTGTAAATTTTAAAATGTTTTATTATTTTTTATTTATTTTAATTTTTTGTTTTTTAATAATGAATTTTTATTTTATTTTTTTAGTTAATTTAAATAAACAAAATACTGATATAATGCCTAAAAAACCTAAATGGTACGTTGTATTTGAAGGAAGAAAAAGAGGAATTTATACAAGTTGGGATGTATGTTCTTCACTTATTAAAGGATTTTCACAAGCAAAATATAAAAGTTATTTAACACAAAAAGAAGCTGAAGATGTATTTCAAAATTATATCACAATTCATCCAAATCCAATTACTAATGAAGAAATAATAGAAAAACAAATAATAAAAGATAATAATAAGAAAGGTACAATACTAGTTAAAGAAGATATAATAATTCAATCATTTAATGAAGTAAAATTACCTAGTCAAATTAAACAATCAAATAACTCTTCTTTTGGAATAAGATTTAGTCAAAATAAAAATGGATTAATTAGAACAGACATAAATGAAGTTGTAATTCCAGGAGTTCAATCAGTAGAATTATATAAAAAAGGAATTGAATATTTATTTTATAATCATCTTATTGAAGTTGGTTATAAATTAATAATTCCATTATGTTATTTTCAACAAATTCAAGTATCATCTCTTTTAATTCCACTTCAAACTATTTATGATACGATTATTCAAATTGAATAAAAAAATATTTCTAATTCTTTCTTTTAACTTCTTTCTTCTTTTCTTTCTATTTCATTAAAAAAAAAAAATCTTAACAATAACATCAAACAATTTTTGAATTAAAGCAAAGCACACTTACCACTCTTTTTCTCTTTTATTGGAGGTGGAATTGGTCTACCTTTTGCTTTTAATTGTTTAATTGATTCTTCAATTGCTTCTGGAAGAATTGCATTAAACATAGCATCAATTCCTTCACCACTTTGAACAGAAATTTTAAAGTCTTTCATTGGATTTTTAGTGAGAAAATCTTTAAAGTCATTTTCATTAATTTGGCTTTCAAGATCAGTTTTATTTCCACATAAAAATTTTGGAATATTACCTTTGTCTGGACCGTAACGTTTTAATTCTCCAATCCAATTTTGAAGAGATAATAATGAATCATTTTTTGTAATATCATAAACAAAAATACAAGCAGAAGCATTTTGATAAATAGCAGAAGTAACAGTAGCCATTTGTTCAGCTCCACAAGTATCAGGTAATACTAGTTTTAATTTACGATTTTGAAAAACTAAGCTCTTATGATTAAGCTCTTTAACTTCTCCACTATATTCGCAATATTTATGAATAAGTGATGTTTTTCCAACTCCTAAATCTCCAATAACTGTAATTTTAATTGGTAATTCATCACTTGGTTGTTTATTTCTATTTGCATTTGTGTTCATCTTCCCTTATTTTTGAGTTTGTTTTTGTAGAGTTCTTTTTCTTCTTTTATTATTTAACTTTTTTATTATTATTTTACTATATCTTATTATCAATGCTTTTTCTCATTTTGGTTTCCTATAAATATTTGGAGAGGCGATTATTATTTTTAGTTATAAAAACTTCTTTCTCTTTATTTTTTTCTTTGAAAATTCATGTCTGAATGAAACGAATTTTTTTCATTCTTTTTTTCATTTTTTATTATTAAAAATATATCA